AAAGAGGCTGCAAAAGGGTGTGTCATCAATCAAGCTAGTTACCACTGCGGGCATCTGGGGCTGGGTCCCAGAAAGGAACTCCGGGACAGAGCAAAGAGCGTGTCTGGAGTTATCTCTGACTGCGGGGCAAGGGAGATAGGTTATTTAACCCACCATCTCCAGTCACTGGTCGAGAGCTGCTTCTAGGGCCTTCACTCTGCAACACTTCAGCTTGTCCTGTGATTAGGATCCTGCACCCAGAAGAAAAGCTGTAGGCAGGAAGCCAGCCGCGAGCGTGGCAATGAAGAGCACCTGCTGCACGGGGGAGCGGCGACACTCCAGGCAGGTGGAGTGGTTGCTATCTTTGGTTGACTTAGAAGTTTGTCTAAGATCCATTTGGAAATGCCACTCTCTTATGTAACTATAATCTGGTCTTTTCCGGGCAATGGCTTCAGGTGCTGCAAATCCAGATGTGAAAGGCCAGATAAGGAAGAGACAGAGTCTCAGATGTAGATGACGTTGAAGGCAGCTAGACTGAAAAATCCTGGGGTTAGGATGGCGTGTGTGTGTGTATGTGTGTGTGCGTGTGTGTGTGTGCGTGCACGCGTGCACACATGTGTGTTATAGGGGTCTGTGTTTAATTCTTTCACATTGCTTGCTCAATAAATGCTCTTGTGGAAACTTGCTATTATTATTTCTGCTCAAGAGAGCAGAGGTGGGTAGCAGCTGCCAAAACCCTTACGTGGCTGTTGCTCATCATTGCCTCCTCCACACAGAGCTGATTCTCTTGCAAGGTCTTCCCCTGTCTCTTGCAGACATCATGTAGATTCTTGATATCAACTTGCAGGCTCAAGAGCTTGTTGCTCAGGCTGCTCACTTCTCTGTCTCTTTCCCCCACCTAGGAAGACAGAAAAACAAAAGCGTCAATTATAAACCGTCAAAAAAAATGCTTACTTTCATTCACTTAACTGGTTGACAGAGACTTTAAATTTGCTGGAAATTTGTCCATCAACCCTTAGCTGTTATTACTCATCCCTTGTAACATTTACACAGAATCCATTTGCGAGGCGTCTGAGTGCTCCACATTATTCAGACAATTACTTATTTAATTAATCTTCACCCACTGCTGTGGGTGCATCACAGACACTTCCCTGTTTTTCAAGAGGAAGTCAGTGCCTAGAATAATTCCAGGCACCTAGTGGATTGCCTATAAATATTAATGGCTCTGCCACTGATGAAATGAACATATTGAGATGTCAAATGAACTTGTCAAGACTATAGTGAATCGGTGATGGAGTTGATGTGGATTCTGAAGTCTCTTAACTTTCTCTTCTACCCACTAAACCAAAAGGCTTCTTTCACCAGTAAACCTAGTGCTTTTTCTTTGAGATGGACACCAGTGGGAATAAAAGTAAAATCCCTGGGCCGATTACAGAAGATCCATGCCTTTGATTATGAGTGAAAAAGATTAGTAATTATTGCTATGTTAGAGTGGTAGTTAGCGATTGAGATCAAAATGGAGTGTGGAGCATAGCAACTTGGGTGGGGTTGGGGCTGTTGAGCTGTGGTAACGGGGTGGGTGCTCCATTACACTAGGGTGCCACCCTCCACTCCCAGAGTTGTGGGTGGCAACAGTGTGAAAAAAAGTTAGGAAGTAGCCCTCTATGAACCTGCTTAGTGCTTTAGTCCTATTACTGTGCAGACTTTCTGTAACACTCATGAAGACAGGCGTTGCCACCTCTGAGTTTTAGATGCTGGAACTAAGGCTGGTCCTTTTGTGGCAGGTGCCTGCCTTTTGTTAGATTACCCAGAGCAGACTCTTAGGTGAGGATTCATCATCTATTAAAGAAACGCTCCCAAGAAGAATCAGCAAGGAAGTGGGGGAAGCAGGACAGGGAAGGGGAAGAAACCAAGCAAGGGCAGGATATCAGAGAGTCCTGCAGGCAGTAGCTTCAGTCTGATCCCACAAGGAACTCTAGAGTGTATGTTACACCTCAGAGTTTGTCCTGATCAGCTGCCTTGAAAGTGGGGCTGTCAGACTCAGCATCAGCCAGTCGATGGCCAAGGGTAGCCCTATGGGATATAAGCTCCCAAGGACGTCTAGCTCTCCGCTTTTACGAGTAAAGTGACCCCAATAGCCCCATGGCAATTCTTCTAAGAGAGTTGCAGGTGCAACGGCACACAGACGCCATGGGTGCCCAGAAGCAGAAAGTGATGTGACTGACAAGAGCCTGTAGCTGGTTAGCAGCAGCAGGAGGAGATCTGCTCTCCCGACCCTGTAGCCAGTGCTCTTTCGCCATATCCCACTGACTGCTCTGGGCCTTAAATATATGAATTACATAACGCACATTCCCAGGGCAGCTGGAGACCTGAAATGGACATCGTAAATCAAGCCTCACTGGACAGGTCAGTTTAAGAGACCTCTGCACAAGGCCAAGGGGGCCCCGAGAATAACCACAAGAATCGGACACTGCAATGTCAGAGTATTCGGAATTCAGAAGGTTTCCCAGAAGTGCTGCTGTCTCAGCTGATTTATTTCTTCATTTCCATTTAGTACCTGGATTTTTTTTTTTTTAACCACTTTACAGTTTAATTAGGTTAACGGCATGGCTCTGTCATTAAAAGGATTTCATTATCTCAAAACTCTCCTTCCTCTCTTGCTCCCATTCCTTATTCCTTACTTTCAGAAAAATAACAGTGGATGTCAAACTGCCCCGAGCATGTAATTACCTTTAAGACAATTACCAGAGATTCTCTTAAGAGAATATGTGTAGAGTGGCTAAAAAAAAGTGGTGTACAGATGCTGTTTTCTAACTAGAAAACAAAATCCTTGACCCAATAAGGGGCAGCAGCTTGATTCCAGTGCTTTAAGTCCCTTTAGTCATGGTTGCCACACTGAGAATAGGATACAGAGGATCACTGGGGACTGAGACTCTGGGGATCCCCCCTTCTTGTCACAGGACTTTCTTTGGCATCTATGAGCAGATTAGGTGACAATACAATGCCTGCTCTATGGAAGTGCCAAAAGCCCTATATCTTGCCTTAATGCTGAATATATGTGTCTTAAGGTGAGGACCTTGTCACCAGATTGTTCCATGTAAAGTCTGGCACACTGTGGTGTCATTAACAAAGTACCGATGCCTCTCCAAGTTAAAAGTTAAAGGCCCTCTCTGTTTCAGGACAATAAAAAACCACTCCTTCTCTCCAGTTTTGGATGTCCTCTGAAGGCCTGCTGGCCCAATTCTGTTGCACCGCCGGGCCTGCGGAATTAGATCTTTTATGTAGATGATCTCATATAATTTGGACATTAGCATTGACTCAGAGTCTCTGAGGCAATTTCTTCGTTCATAAAACAAGAGTTTTAGAATAAATACTCTTTCTTTGAGGACTCCCTAAACCAGTTGAATAACAAATGTATTTTGTTGGATGTCAAATGAAATTTGCTTTTGAAATCAAAATCTAACCATTCACTCCTAAAGGCCAAACCATACAGGGATTTTTATTCATTAGAACAGGAATAGAAATGCTGTGAGAGCAATAAAATGATTTTCTTGAATCACATATTATTTTTTACTATATGAAGTTCTAAGAAAAGGCTGTGTTCACCTCAGAACTCCAGAAAGGCAAGTGTTTGAGGTTCCAGTAAACCTAATTTCTTGCTAATATCTTGCACAGAGGTCACTGTGCACTATTTCTAATCCTATGTACTTTATGAAGGCTAAATTCTAGGCAGACACCTTTCGAGTATCAGTATGTGGTAGGAATTGATTTAATCTGACATTTCATCAATCAAAACTCTGTAACCAGTACTAGGGCATGAGATGAACTGAGAGTCATAATGCTGACCCTCAGGCACCATCTGATCCTGTCCTAGATCTGAAGTCATTAATGATGGCTGAAATCACAAGCCTCTGACGCTAGGTGAGTTTTCACTCACATAAGCCATGCACTTAGATACCCAGTTTTGCTTATATGAGGTTGGCACCTGGTCACTCCTCTTGAAGGCATGTGACATCATTAGCAGTTACCAACCACGGGCCAAATGGTGAGTGCTGACACTGCAGCTGCTACCATGCTCATGATAGTTATTGGAAAATAGGTTACGTACCAGGCTTTCTCAGACATATCTCAAAAGATGGGAAAAAACTTTGCTCTAGGCTTCACAGCATTGACAGATAGTCCCGTGCTCTTCTGGAGGGACGCTGACGTTAAACAGAAGCTTGTGACCCAGCAGCACTCTCCCACCCCAAGAGCGTGACAAAGGTTCAAGATGGCTGCATTCCCAGGCGTTTGGCGCTTGGGCAAGAAAGCGTGGGTGGCAGTTTCTAGAGTAATTTTGAGGTCAACCAACCACAACCATAAAGGTCATCGTCTTTGATAAATTATCTTTGTCTGAGGATAAGGACAAATCTTAAACAAGCTATGAAAAGCCACTTTAACCACCACTACCATTCAACATAAATAGGTTTATAGTGAGACTTATGTTTTAAAAAGTGTGAAACCTTAAAAATTGACATTGCTTCAGGATTTTTTACACTCTACTTGTGTTATCTACAGTAATTCCAAACACCGTTACTGATATTACTTACTTGATTCTTGAGTTTGTCTTTCCATCTATAGGAACATTGCAGTTTTTGGTTACTCATGATGGGAATTAATAAGCACTTATACAAGGTTTTGCCTGTGAGCAAAAATTTTGGAACCAATTATGTTCATATAATGAAGAATGAGTATATTTTATTGCATTCTACATTCTTTTTAAATTGCACACTGTATAAAGTGATCCATGTGGCATATGGCAGAGGTCAGCCACCTATGGAACATGAGTCAGTTTTTATGGTACTTAGGCAGTTGTCACATACTTTTTTTCATCATATCTTTAGAGAAATTGATTCACTAGAAGGTAAGCTCCATGAGAACAGGGATCTTTGTCTATTTTGTTTGTTGCTTTATCCCCAGCCCCTAGAACAATGCTTGGCACACTGAAGTGCTCCAAAGATATCAGCTGAATGAAGGAATGCCCTTCTAGAAAACCATGCCAGATCCTTGTTTCCTGCAGAACTTCCAAAGAATCCTGTATAGCCTCTCTCCAGAAATCCAGCAAAAAAGGGGCAAAAACACCCTTTTAGAAGCTGCTTACCTCTTTGCAGGAGGTCTGTTGAAAAGCATAGGCCGTGTAGGACCTTACACTAACCAAAACATCCTCCTTCTGGAACAAGTCAGGGAATACATAAACACAGTTTGACCAAAATGTTAGACGAATCAGAACACTCCATTTCCATACCATTCCAGATAAAGAGAGAATGTTGGCAACAATAGTTAATATTTATTAAGTGCTTTCCGTGTCCCAAGCTCTAGTGATTTACATGCAGTATTGTACTTAGTCCTCACAGCAAGCCTTTAAATAGGTACTCATTATTCATGTTTTCAGTGGAAAGGAAGCTCAGGGAGGGTATGTAACATGCCAAAGACCACACTGCTGTTAGATATGGACTCAGACCCACTGACCTCAAGTTCGGGTTCTTATGTGCTATGCTCTGCTGCCTACCTCTGTCTGTGATATTTTGGGATGCTTACTACTGGAATTTTGAATCAGGAAACTGGAAAAGAAGTACTTTGTAGCAAAGGTTCAATTCCTTGTATGTAGAGGAATTGGGAGCCTTACCTCATCTTTCATTTCCTTGGTACCTCTCAATTCTCCTTTAAGCTTTAGCATTTTCTGAGCTTTGTTATAAACCTGGAAAAGTATAAAAATTTAAGATGGAAAAAGTGTAAATGAGTCCAGCCCTTTAAAGATTTTCCCATCTGGATGTGTGCTCTCAGCAGGGAGTTAAGGAAAATTCCCTAACTGTTAGCAGTACCTAATTGCCTACCCATCTGTTTGTGTTCTCAAAAGTGTGTTAAAACCTTCACCAGGAAGACGACCATTGTTTTACATCTCCCCCCACCAAAAAACAAACAAACAAACAAAAAAAAAACAAAAAACTCTGCTAAATAGTTTCTGAATTTATCCTTCTTGGAAAGTAAAAGGTCTGAAATGATCTTACTTTCTAAATTTCTAAGTATTCTATGGCTCAAATATAGTTAACATTATGCACTCATTATGAAGCAGATGGGATACGCATAACTCAACTTCATTCTCACAGTAACCCTGGTAGATACTATTACTATCTCTATTTTACAGAGGAAAATACCGAAGCCCAGAGAAGCTAAGTGACATACTTAAGGTCACACAGGCTCTCTTATTGCTCCATGAGGAGCTTCCATTAATTTATAACTATTAATTTGGAAATATCTGATTTTTAAAGCATCAAGTTACCATAATGTTGGTGCTTGTAAAGTTAGGAAACATATAAAGTGCTGAGAATTATCTAGATAAAAACTTCAAAGAAAGCCAAAGATTTTTGCACATGTATGTGTATAAGATAATGCATTTAAGGTCATAATGCACTGAGCTTAATAATCTAATTCATTATGTTTCTAACAAAAAGACTAGATAAAATTTCCACCAGGCACTTACCTGCAGAATAGTTCCAAGAATGAGAAGCTATCAAAATACTCATTCTTTGTAATGAACCGCATCCCCCACCCCTAATATAAGCCAAGAGGAAGAAAGAATGCTGGTGAGACATGGAATTTGGAATGTTTTATGAGGTCGTATTCTATATGCTGCATTGTTTACCCTCTTAAGTCTTTGGGTACAGAGATGCATCATGGGAATGGTGATGTAGCTCAGGCTTACCCAACAGGGAGAGGCTAGGTGATGCTGCAGTAACACACAACCTCCATATCTCAGTGGCTTAAAACCATGAAGGTTTATTTTCGCTCATGCTACATGTCCTTTATGAGTTGTCTGGGGCTCTGCTCTTCATTGTCCTTAGCTGGTAGAACCTTTATCATCTAGTATGTTGCCTGTTGTGATGACAGCAGAAAGGGAACTTGGTGACCCACATACAGGTTCTTAAAGTGGAAGTGACACTTCAATTCTGCTCGCATTTCATTGGCCAAAACAAGTCACATGGCCATGCCTAACTTCTTCCTTTATATCCCAAAGGAAATATTGGTGAATGTCACGAATGACTTCCAGGCTAGGTGTGTTAGCCAGTTGGGCTGCTATAACAAAATATCACAGACTAGGTAGCTTATAAACAACAGAAATTTCTTTCTCATAGTTCTGGAGGCTGAGAAGTCCAAGATCAAGCCACTGGCAGATTAGGTGTGTGTTGATGGCCACTTCCGAGATGGCTGTTCTTTTTCCTGTAACTTCACATGGTGATAGGGGCAAGGGAGCTCTGTGAGGTCTCTTTTATAAGGGCACTATTCTCATTCATGAGGGCTCCACCCTCATGACCTAATCACCTCTCAAAGGCCCCACCTCCTAATACCATCACTTTGAGGGTTAAGATTTCAACATGCAAATTTGGGGGGGGACGGGGACACAAACTTTTAATCTACGGCACCAGGCAAATGAGAAGATTAAAAATAGTGTGGCATAAAAGAACACACAACAGAGTTCTAGGTCACTAAGTTTCTAAACTTGGTTCAGCTCATAATTCAAAAAGTGGCTTTTGAAAAGGCATTGATCTCTCTGAGCCTTCGTGTCTGCCTTTGTAAACTTGGGCACTATACTAAATGACTGTTCAGTCTCTCCTAGGTCTAAAGTTTACTGATTCAGTGTTCTACCTTGACAGACATCTTTCTTTAGTAGGGACCAAGAACTCAGCCCAAATATCATGCAAAAGTTGGAATGGAACAAATATATCCTTGAGAATAACATTATTCTACAGGCAGTCCTATTGGATAGTCAAGAGATTCTGAGATCAAATGAAATCTTGTCCTGAAGACAGAAAAATGTCCAGATTGTGATTGTTTCATCTACTATGGAGTTACACAGCTATAGCAGCAAGGTCCAATAGCATTTGGAAGGAAAAGAGGAAGGCACAGGCTCTCATATTTGCATGAAAATATATTGGACTTCACTAAGTAAAATAAGTCAGAGGAAAAAGAGAGCACTGAATTGTGTTCCATGATAGAGACATGGGAATCCTGTGAGTTATTAACAATAGCAGTGGGCAATTTGGAAGTGCTTGTGATGAAAAAAATGGAAGGGTTATATGATAAATTTTTGAAGCATTTGACAGTAATGTTTGCCAGATGGATAAGGAAGAGTGCTCTGAGGGAGCCTCAAATGCTTTATAAAATGATCACATGAACCTTCACCACACTCTCCGAGGAGTGTGGCTGGACAAATATTTTGTAGAGGAGAGAACTCATCACAGAGGGAGGGGCTCCTTACCTGATCAGTGAATATAGATCTCTGGGCCCAGGACTTGAACGTCTTCTCTCTTCTCAAACCCTCACTCTGTGTCTTCTGTGCCGCTGTGTCTTGCATCTTTGTTGAGACCTTCACTTCCTCATGCTTCGTCTCCTCCATCAGCATCTCTGATTCTGTTACATCTGCCCAGGAAACTGCTTTCTTGTATTCAAAAGTCCTGCCATCTGCTTTTCCAGCAGGCCTTCCTTAGATGACAGCTGTGCCCAGAAAAAAAAGCACAAGACAATTGAAGTGAAAACAAAATCTTGGTCAGAGCACCTAGTGATGTTTTGTGCCTCCTGAGTTGGCCTCAGTTCACACTCAGAGCACCTTACAAATTCCTAAGAAACACTAACATGCACCTCACGTGGTGACCAGTGTAGCAGGTATGAACTCAGGTGTGCAGAGAGAAAGTATTTTTCTATTACACAACCTCTATATTGAGCCCCATTTCCACCAAATGGCAGAAAATGGAATCTTCATTATTTCTGAGAAAGCATCATTATTTTTAGGTTAAAAATGAATCAGTTTATAATTCCCTTCACCTTCTTAAGGTTTTTCCAGAGAGTGCCTAAGTTCTGGGCTCCTAGGTTGGGTCCTGGTATCAGGGGTTGCTTCTGGTCCATGGTCACAGGTATCTCTGCCAGCTGAAGTGTGCTGAGATGTCTGTGTCCTGGGCAACAGGCGGTAAATAGTGCATATTCCTCATACTGGGAGCTTTGGGTCTGCTCCCTCTGTAATCCTCCAAGGATGCTCCTAATGCAGAGAGACACATGCACATGTGAGATTGGTCTCAGACCCTTTCTTCCTAGACATTCCCTACCATCATCCTATGTTTTGCCTAGAAATTTGTTAAGAAGGGGCTAGGAATCTAAGATCTTGCTCCCTATTCCTATTTGCCCCTAAATTGCTAAACCTATCTCTCTTGGGTTCTATTGTGTTCCTCACTTTTTGTCCAACGCTTTGCTCTCAGTGTCTAATTCTCTAACTTATTCTCAAATTTCTCTCTGCTTCCTCTTTCTGAACTCAGAGAGTCTTTGTTTAGTTTTGGGGAGAGGAAGAAAAAGGATACAAATGAACAAGTTCAATGAAACACAGGTTGAACAGGCAGCATGGGAAACACATGTTAGTACTTCATGCACCATCGACCCACATTAGGTTACACAAAGGCCATAAGCACAGGTTGCCGACGCTGACTCTCTCCCCAAGGAACTGGAAACTGCCTGGGCATACGGAGGGACTACTGGTCTTTTCCTTTTCCTTTATGACTTGGATGGAAGACTATCAAGGATCTATTTTTCTCATCTAAAACACTTTTCTAGGTTTTATAGAAAGAGATGATATTCATTTTAAAGTTAAAGCTCTCCTTGGGGTTAATCAAAACTAACAGACAGGCTTACCTACACTCAGTCATAAGTCTTTCCTTTATTCCTACTGGATTTTAGATTTTTCTCCAGTGTTTTACCTCGTACCAATGGAAAAAGTGTGGCAAATCCTAGGGCTTTTAATTATTGAAATGATTGTTCAATGTTTCCTCTATTTTAAAAATTATGTGAAACCATGAATGAAAAGGGATGTTCCTTGCTTGATAAATTATTTCTACCCAAAATGCATGGATGGTGCCATAGTGCACAAAGGCCTGGTAGGAAGAGAGTCTGTCTCTTTTAATCCAAATCCAGTTCTACAAGAGAAAATCTCTGATCATATAGGGCATATCTATTGGGGGAAGATGATGCTGAAGATGGTGTTGCCAGGGTCTTGGGATTCTGCACCATAATTTAGAGAATAGGAACCTGACGCCAAAGTCACTGACTGGGTCATAGTGCAACCCCAGGCTGAGGCTCTTCTGGAGAGGAAGTAGGGCTAGTTAGGTCTTTGCAGAAGGAGCTTTAGAATGGTAGAAGAAATGAAGGTCCAGGAGGAACAAGAGAAGGAGTCCCAGGATTTATCAGACTCACTGTGACAGGGGAAATTCTCTCTCCAGGCCTATCTCCTTCGGTACTTTTCACAGAAGCTGTCAGTTGCCTCTTTCAATCTCCATATGCTTTATCTTCCTTAGTAACAGAATCTTAATTTTATTATGGTGTTCATGTACTCATCTAAAAGACTACTGATCCCAGACTCTCTTGTGGCTAGGTGTGGTTACATGTCTAAGTTTTGGCCAATCAGATACAAGAGGAAATACTGTGAGAAATCCCAGGAAATCGTAAAGAGAGGTAGTGCACAGCTCTTTTTTACTTCCTCCTTCCTGATTTAATGGCAGGTGCTCCAGCAACCATTTGGAACATGAGGAGAGGCTCACAGAGACAGAAGGAGCCTAGGTCCCTGATGGTATGAAACCACCATGCCAGCCCTGGACAGAG